AATGATTGTAAAACCACTTTCTCAAAGTTTGCCTAATACTTGGTAAAAATATGTACTGAAGACCAGATAGCTGCTCTGCAAATGTCTAATATAGAAACAACACTGAGGAACACAACCAAAGTGGCTTGGGCCCTAGTTGAATGAGCTACCAGTCTCTGAGGTACTCCATATGCTGCAGTACTGTAGGAAGTAATCCACCAAGACTGTGTGCATGGAAACTGCCTAACCCTTTACTTGCTCTGCATAAGAGACACAGTCGAGAGGAATGATTAAACAGCTTAGTCCTCTCTAAGTAGAACGCCAAACATCATCTCACATTCAGTATATGATGGAGCTATTCCTCCGTACTCAAATGCAGTTTAGGATAGAATACAGGTTAAATATATGTTTGGTTAAGGTGAAGCCGTGACACCACTTTTCACATAAATTTTGGATGCTGCCTTAGCACCATATTTATCTTTAAAAAATTCTGTATAGGGAAGTCCTGCCATGAGAGTCTGCAACTCTCTCACCCTCCTTGAGGGAGTTATGGCTATGAGAAAAGCTGCCTTTTGGCAAAGAAAGGACAGAGAGCAGGTTGCCAAGGGCTCAAACAGAAGACCCATGAGAGCAACTAGCACTGTATTAAGGGCCCAGAGTGATGCCATTTCTTTAACAGAAGGGAAGAGACAGACTAGTTTTTTTAAAAAATGTACTTACCTGGAATTTAGAAAAATGGATTTCACACACTTGAATGGAATACATATCTGCAACCGCTCAAATAACAACTGGCAATACTTACAAGCCACTTCATAGAGTATGTAGCCTGCCTTTTAAGTTTAGGGATTCCTGATAGTTTGTACACCACATGCCTTTCCCATAAGAAATAAATGATGGCTTCACTAAATACATGGTTGTTCCTCCTTTTAAACAGATGAGAAACCTTCAACGTCTTACAATACTCATCCACAGCCAAATTTATAGCCATATATATGTCATGCTGATGCTTCAATATGTACATCTTTCAAGAGTAATTAAGACTAACCCATCCCAGCTCAAACTCATGTCAAAAAGTATGAATAAATCTACCAAGTTTGTTTTCCTTGCAATTGTTTGTTCCACTAAGAAAAAATATTTTAGATTACTACTTCTTTCCATTGGCAGTTTTCTAATGAACATTTATTCAAATAAATGGAATATTCTATATTTTAACCAGCTACATTTAGCTGCACTAGAGAGGCATATTCAGAAGCCTTTCTGGTCTGCAGCTCAGAAGTGTAAGGATTTAAAAGACCAAAGTGGTTATTGAATAAACATGCTGTTGCTAGGCAAAAGAACACTTGTAATAGGCTCTGGTTGAAATATAGCTTACTAAAGTAGTTTAGAAACCCTATAATAGTTGGGCTATTTGTGATGCGCTGTAGCACACTGCGCCACCACATCTGGGAGACAAGTTTTGAATTGCCAGCTTCACAAGGGAATGTAACTGCTCCATTTGCTACTAATTGGATATAATTAGCCTTTGGGATACACTGCCAGCATGAAAGGCCTTCAGAAAATTCTTTATCCATGTCATTATCCATCTTATTTCCTGAGCCGTAGAGTGGTAGTTTCCTGGCATTCCTCTTCTGTCTGACATAGATTACTGCATCAGGATAGAATTGTACCTGAATTCATTAAACATCTGGTCCTCACCCTCAGGAATTGCTCATTTGAGTTTTCAACAAAGTTCTGCGGGAATCCAGACTGCCTATAGTCTGGCACCAAGCGAAGGTCATTGTCTTGCTGAAACCGGGGAAAGACCTACACTTGCCTTCAAGCTACAGCCAGTTTCACTTCTAAGCGTTTGCTTTAAAGGTCCTTGAGTATCTGCTTGTGCAAAGAATTTCATCATCTGTGGAAGGCAGGCTAGCACCAGAGCAAGCTGGTTTTCACTGCAGTCATAATACATGTGATCAAGTTCTGGCACTTACAACTTTGATCAAAAATGGATTCCAACATAAGCTGAAGACTGGTTCAGTTTTCCTTGATCTGACCATGGCTTACAATATGGTTTGGCACATGGGCCTTTTGGTGAAAGTGCAAAGCTAGTTTTATCTCCCCGTGCATTAAGAAAATTTGAAGCAATGCTACTGCTCTGAATAACATTTAAGTGTTACTGAATCCCTAAAGACAATGCTACTAAAGACCTGCAACTTAATATTTTTGCTGAAACAAGAATATTTGTCAAAATAAAAAAAAATGCTTATTTGTTCAAATACACAACAGATACAAGATAACTGAATTTCCATGGCATAAATAATAGCAAAGTGGTGGGAAGAATTCTTCACTTCCTAAAATGCCTTTTCAAGGAAACATCTTGTTTGTGCTAAAGATTCTTCCCATGCTGCTTCTGCTGTTATGAGGAATGAGGAAAAATGAGAAGGGAGAACTCATTATACCCATGAAACTGTAGCACAATTGGGACAACGTAATCCATTTGTCACACCATTTTTATACTTTGATATAAGATGTCACATTAAACATAACAATGAACTGCCAAATACAAAAATATCAGACAGAACAAGCACATCAAATATTGATTAATTAATGTAGCACAACATGTAGTCATCTTAATCCACGGAAACGCAATTATATGTTCACTATTAGAGAAACCAGGATTACTGGAGATTGTCTGCAATAGCACCACAGCATGTAGTTATACAATATGCAGACAATAACCGAGGCATCAACTGATCTCCCAACATGCAACATATTTGAGTAAGCTTCCCTCTCCCCCACTCAAAAACCTGAGAATATTTGAGCACCTGGAAAGATAGAACACAGAGGAAAGGTTCGCACCCCAACGGGAAAATATTAATAATGTACCCTTTTATCTCAATAATCCTTTAACTGCTGCAATTTATTTTGTTGGCCCTGAATCACTAATCACAGGCAGGAAGGAATCTGAATAAGAGATGTTCCCAGGGTGACATTACTATGCCAGCCACATTTTCAAACAACTGTATCTTTCAAATTGCCAACAATTCAGACACCTCTTAAAACTTGCCACAATTCTGTTCTCACCACTGGCCAAAGCAGTTAGACATCCAGACGATGGGCCTGATCCAGCCCTCATGATGAATTTATGTGGTCCATGGGAAATATTTAGAATTTGCATATACCCAGCTTCCATTGGGGGGTGAGGAGGGGGAATTCTAGTTCTCATGATTGAGAAGAAAACCTTCCAAACATGAATCAAGTATGACAGATGCAGTACAGTCTGAGTCTGCGGACAGGCTGCAAGAGGTGAACTTCCCTGCCTACCAATAAAAAAAAAAAAAAAAATCCTCACTGGCATGTTGATTCTGAAGCCTAACAATACAAAGTGTAAACATTAATTTTTTCATTGCTTATTTTAGGGGCAGAATGGGGTAGAAGTGGGAGTAAAGCCTAAGGGTAAGAGTGTGGCAATTGGAAGTTGATGCAGGAAGGAAGTTCAGAAAGAAGAAACAAGAAGTGACACAAGAACAGTGACAAGAGAGAGAATAGAAAGTTAATGAAGGAAGAGGGCGGAAAAAGTGAGGTGGAGGAGAATATAGCTGATCCTTAAGGTGAGCATATTTTCCAACTGAGTGATGCTGAACGTGGCAATAAGGTATTGAACAAATAACAATAATATGACTGTAACAACAAGTTTAGTTACTACACTAAGGCTCTATTCAACCCATTATATACTCTGATCACATTTTCAGGCTTCCCTCTGCAACCAAGAAAATAAAAAAGGTTAAAAAAAAGAGTAAGCTGAGATTTTCCCGTATCATAGGATTTCAGAAGCTGGGGCTATGAGGAAAAACAACAAACGTCATCAGACTCAGAATAAAATTGAGAGAATTGGCAACACAACACTCTAGCCCATGAACCATAATTAAAAATGGAATTTGTCTCTCTCTACCAAATAAATTTAACTCCTCTACCAGAAAAATAATCACATTCAACCAAAGTCTACCCAAGTTACCACCGCAGTCCGAAGTCAATGCAGTAACACTGATACAACAGAGTGATATTTGGCTCCACATCATGTAATTTTGCTAAAGCAGCCTTTTTAACTACCCTGCTATTGATATATTGGTAAGAAGATACAACACTTTATAGATTTTTGAATTACTAGCTGTTTAAAGTTACTATACAAGGAGAAAACTCTGCTGATTGCTCTCATTTCATTTTATCTTAAGAAAGCTTGGATTTCCTTTAGATCCAGCACTGACTCAGTGCCACAGACTCCAGTGACAGAGATGCAATACAGTATTTATACATCAGTGGATCTTGTTCTACGTGAAAGGCAGCAGTCCATTTTTACCAGCTACAAGGATGGTTAGTACCCTGAATAATCACTTAACACTTAATTTCCTAATATAAAATACTTTTCTTATACATAACTAAATATTTTAAACAGTTTACTTATTTATAAGCCTAGTTGTGGGTATCTCGGTGTTTCTGGCATTGCAACACAGACTGCCTAGAGTGCTGTTGTCTATGTCCTTAAACATTTTCTAGGTGTCCTCTTAATTGCTTGTCACCTGTAAAGGAGGTTTCAATCCAATGAAAAATTAACATATGGTGAACAGATGGACTGAGAACAGGCATTTGACAAGAAAGTACTAGCACCAAAGACTTTTTGGCTCCAGTCTTTTAGGACTTTCTGAAAAGACCTACTCAAATCTCCTAGTCACTGATCAGTTAATGAAGAATCTTGCTTCAATGTCAATCTGATCTTGCAAAAATACTTTCAAGGCCATCTGGAAAGGAGAATTCCTATAATTCAGATTTGTTGTTAGAGTCCAAAGTAACTTTCAGGGAGACTGACAGGCAGCAATTCATTGTTTTCATGGTACCCATAGTCCCCATCCAGTTACTGGTCTCACTCCTCTATAGAGCAAGCCCACAGCAAAAGCCTCTTAATATTACAAGGTTAATTTTTTAAATTAAAAATAAAAAACATCACACAATAAGAATTCTCTCAAAAATGTTCCACTACTCACTGAGGTGGTAAAACAAGAGTTGTAGGTTGGGCTTTTGGTCTCCGTTTTGCAGATACTCCCATCTGGTTGGCAGAACGTTTCAAAGACTGTTGATTCAAAAGGCCAGACGCTAGCCCTGCATGGTACTGCAACTAGAGAGCAAAGTGAAATCAGCAAAGAGACAGTGCATTAAAAATCCTCCCCTTTGCCCAACTGCAATATTCTGTACATCTCAGATTTTCATCTCCTGCATCCTTAGTAACACAACAGCTACTTGCTGCTAGTAAGATAGCAACTAATACTTTGCACATTATAGCACCATCCATACAAGCACTTTATGAACATTAAATACAAGTTATACTTTACAACAGGCCCATGAGGAAGGTAGATATTCCCATTTTATAGACAAGGAAACTAAGCTACAGAGGTTAAGTAACTTGACCAAGATAACACAGCAGTTGTGCAGGTGAGTCAGTAACAGAATCAATATTTCCTGAAACCCAGTTTTGTTCATAAAACCGTAGAACATTCTCTCTCTCTCTCCAACAACCATTCGGATTTTTTTTCCTATTTGAAGTCACCATGCTAGTTTTATAGGAGGCTTTATCTATGTGAATGACCTGTGACCAATATTATAATTTCTGCTAGACTACTCTTTTAGGCTTGAAAGCAGAGCCCACGATATATTAAAAACTGTAGTGTTTAATAAGCTACAGATACAAACTAATTAAGGACAGTATGTTGTGTCCAAGTTGACCTAAATCCTACAGAGGCAGCCAATTTTTCTTTAATATTTATTTCAGATGCCAGGAAAACTGATCCCATAATTTGCTGCTCTGTGCAGAATAAATTTGTGAACCTGGACATAGCTCTCATTAATTTAAGGAAGTAATATTTTACTATACAAACAGATATAACAATAATTATTTATGAATGGGTAACAGATCATACACAATAAACCAAGAGATTCAGGGATCCTTAAAAGAAGAGGATCAGGAAGCTGGCTACATTAGGAAAATCTGGCTTTTTTTTCCCAATTGCTTGCACCTGCTCATTTTGCAAATGAAAATTTCATCTGAAGTAGCTGTCTTCCCCAGGCATTTATTTTAGTTGACAGTGAAAGACAATTATGTGAAGGATGTATGTGAACATGGAAGACAATTTTACTGAGCTCATTCTCAGATAGACATACTGGTGTCTTTATGGTGAAATCAAATTATGAAATCGATAAGTTACAAATTAACCTTAACACTTCTTAAACCATCCTGCTCAATGAGGTTCACCCTACCCCAGATTCTGAAGTAAAAAGAACCAGATATTTATCCAATGTTAGCCAAGTGGAATTCTTTCCATATCTGTAGCCCTATATCAGTGTTTTGTCAAAGTGTCTATACATTTGTTTTGAAAAGGTCAGCTATTTTACAATTGAGGGAAACTAATCCCATGACCACCACATAAGAATGTCATAGCTTCCTCGCCATAACCTAACAATGTTCAGAAAATAAAATCCACTTACACACCACCGTTCTACAGCGTTGTGACTGAAAATGAAAGAAACAAAACCAATTAAAATTATCTCCTTGAAAATTACTCTAAAAATGAATGAAGCTATCCAGTGAGCCAATAAGACTTAAATGTCAGTGTTCAGAGCATCCTTATTGCTTTTTTAACAGCTTCCTGATTTACTTGGTCGATTTGCCATGTGATTTATACAGCACTATGACACAGACAAAGATGTATAGCACTCTTAATAAAAGCAGAACTACTCTCAGCTAGGGAAAGGGAGGGGTATCATATTGCTCTAACAACTCATCTTAGACCAATGAATTTTGCTCAAATTTGTTTTTCTCCTACAAATTTCTTAAATGGGAAATCAATGAACGAAAGGGACACTACAAGTTTGAAAGACAATGTTTCAAAATGTCAGAGGCTTAGTTTTCTATCTCCACTACCAGAATTTGCAATGAGTGCAACATGCACAGTGTTTTATGGAATTAAAGGGAAAGACAGCTTGGCAGGAGACCCCTTCCTGGCTCTAGGAACATTCCCTTCCCTTTTCTTCATTGCATCTTATTATGATCAGTGCAAACTCAGCCATTTTGTCCCTGCTGACACTACTCTGGAAGAGTTATGCTCACTGTGCAGAGTGGCATGACTGGTATTTTACCCAAATGGCATCATTTTGGCCATCTGCTCAAAAGAGAGAGCAAAAAATAGTACTATTACAGATGAACTCTTAATATTACCATTTTAAAATGTGATACCTATTCGGAGACCTCCTGGTATATTTCACACTTAGGGGCCAGGTACAAGAAAAGTATGTACCCTTTTTAAAAAATTAGTATTCCAGAAAACAAACTATGTCCTTGAATGCTGACTCCCAGTAATTCAGTGACTTTTTGTTAATTGTGTACACACACACACACACACCCCCCATTCTACACTTCCAGGAACACAGACCCAACTGTCAAAAATCTATAAGGGCCCATAAAATATTTTTTTTAAAAAAATCTTTATAATGAGAGAAAGGGTCAAAGTTAATAAAACTGATAGGAAACTCCTGTCCAATATCATTTATACATTATTTAAGCATTACATACTGTATTGTACACAATGCATTTTTGAACCAAAAAGACTGGGAAAATGTTTCCTTAGTCACAGGTCTGAAAAACAGAACCAAGGCTAAAGGGTAATTCAGATTTATTACTATTTACAAATACAGGCATGAGATTTAATGCATAATGTGGTATATACACATAAAATGTACACTTTACAATGCACACATTTATCTCCTAATGTTCACGAGAGCAACTCTTGTTTCAAAAAGGACCACGGAAAGGTCGATAATAGTTCTCTACTTTTCAGGATAATATGTTCATTTTATGGCATGGTCAAATGTGAGCAGAATAAAGGACTGGGGGAAGGGAATACACCTTTTCATCATATCTGGTTATTCTAGGTTTTCTGTTCTGTTACTCCATCTGCAGTTACCCTTTCTATTATTCTGGTTTCATGGGCTTTTTAGAAAGTCCCTTATTCCCAGCACAAAATTATTACAGTACAGTTATTATAGGAGCTAATTAAAAAACTGCTAGTCATTCTATCATCAGAAATTTCCTGTATCGGAATTATCCTACAGATGGGATATACAACCAGTATTGTCAACCCCAACTATTCAAAAGTCAGGAGTCAGACCTTTTAAAAAAAATCAGGTTTACTTAAATTTGTGGGGTTCGTTTATTTGCCTTGTGGTCTCTGTGCCTTTAAGGTGCTTTCAAGAGTTTTATGCAGCCATGAGGGCTAGAAATTCTCTAAAGAAATATGAGATTCTCTTGCAATTGCCTGACTCCAGGAAAATTACATTTAAGAAAGACATGAGATTCGCAACATATTAGAATTAGGTAATGAGGCTGTCTTTAATGACCGGCTGAGATAATGTTTAAGACAGTGCAAAATATATATAATTTCACATAGTATTACTCCATTGTTTTACTGCTTTGCCTGTCTCTACTTGTTCACTCTGGCATGCAATAGTTCAACGCCTTTATTTTGCTCTCAGTATTACTGCTATATAGGTGATACAGGCCACAAACACCTCTGTTGGCATACTTCCAGCATTTCTTGGGGGGGGGGGAAGTGCTTTGAAACACTAGTATAAATAGTAATTATTAGTATTACTTAAAAACAAAATATTGAGAGAATCATAGCCTTCACATTAATAAACTGTAAAATACTTGCTATTAGTTTTACTCCGTTTAAAAGCCAAATCACTATCTTCTGGATGGTGAAAAAATATTTGGCTTCTGTAGCTCAAGCCAGCCTGGGATGTTTAACAGAAGACATAGGTCAAGAATGGATTCAATACAAATAGGGAGAGGAATGAAACCAGTTCAAGAAGTCTATGACTTGGTCCATTCACTCCTTCTGAGCATCATTCAGAGAGTTTGTCACGTGACTGAAAAGATTTCTGCCTTCACTCCTCAGGAAACAATGGTACAACCTGATCCCTTAGGGTCCAATCAGCGCTCAGCATTTACTGTGAGATGTGGAGTGCTTTCAACTCATTAATTTCAATGGAGGCTGAGCACCTTGAAGGAGTAGACCAATAAGCCGTCTCATGAGTTACTTAACTTGTTACATCAAAGATGTGACTCAAACGGATTAGTCACAGACGCTCTAAATATTTCATTAAGGTATTTTGCATACGTACCGGTATCATATTTCTCCAAATGTAACCATACTGTTTCAATAAAAACAGTCCCAGAAATCAGATGCTATGGCTAGACTGCCAGAAATTTCTTGTATTCTGATATTTTCAGTGATCACCACCCTCAAGCTGCTGTTGACAGTTACCGTTTAGCATTTTGCCAGCTAAATGCGTGCAACAGCCGTCAGATTAAACATGTAAATTACCTGTTGTACCTGAATGTTGACATATTGGACAGCATTAAAAATCATCATCACATCAGCCACTCAGGATTCCCCATCATTCAAAAGCACTATTACAGCAACTCATCCATGTAACTTTCAGTTTTGGGGAAATCCAACTGGCTGGTGAGAAGCTAAGCTCTTTACCACCAGTGAAATACTAAGAACATAAGTTTGGCCAAATAGGGTCACACTAATGGTCCATCTAGCGCAATACCCTGTCTTCTGATGTGGCCGGAGCCAGATGCTTCAGGAGGAATGATCAGAATAGGGCAATTAGCCAGTGAGCCATTCCCTATTGTCCAGTCCCAGGTTCTGGCAGTCAAAGGTTTACCATTAGGATCATATCAAATGGCCTTTTGTTTGTGTTGATTGCTGACAAAACAAGCCATTACACTCCACTAGCTGAAGATATTATTTAGCTTGCAGAAACTGAAAAAGCACCTGGAGCATTTGATCATGTCAGTTCACCGTGTGCAATAAATTGACATATTAACAATCCTTAGAATTATTTTTTGAGTAATTACTTTGCTTCAAAAAAAATGTTTAAAACCAGAAAGCTCATGTGTGTTCGTTCTTATAACCCCAAGGTGACTTTTTCCAAAATCTTAATTTTAAATATTACAGGAACATATATGTATATCATATTTTAAATAAAGTGCTTTTGGCAGTGGGGGTGAGAGGGAAGCAAGAGGGAGTTGTTTTAAAAAGTATCTGGTTCCAA